GTAATAAACTCTCAAGTCTGAGAGCCCTGGCTTTGAATCCCAGCCCCATCAGCTTCTGTGTGGACTGGGATAAATTACTTAACCTCTCTGAACCTCTTTTCCCCCATCGGTAAAACAGTGACAATGCTACCTCCTTCCATAGGTTGTTGGGAGGGTATTAATGGAAATAATCCACATGTAAGAACTTGGTACATAGTAACCACCCAGTGCATGGTAGCTATTGTAAATATTATCACGATAATTAACATAACAAGGTTCAAAGGTAAAACTGAACTGAAAACCAACAGGGCATGCAGGATGGGTGCTCTGGGTTCAACATGGGGCTGATGCAGCCAGTCACTCTGAGGAGGCCACCAGGCACCCCCCAGATCCATCTGCTGCATTCCCGGGGGCGGAGAGCTGGATGAGCTCACCTAATCTGCAAGCGTCATGACAACCAAGGAAGGAGCCCAGGCAAGAGCTGAGGGAAGATCTGTGGGTTGACCAAAGAATGGAGACCTTGAATATCCCATTATGGTAATTGAAGCAGGGAAGGGTATGATGAAGATAGTACTTTGGGAGAATCACTCCGGCAGCATCAAAGGAGGGACCAGAGGCAGATAAGCCAATTAGGATGGCAGCTGTGGCAATATCTGAGATGAGGACCCAGATCAGGGAAGTAGCTGCGAGAATGCGAGTGCAGAAAAATGGCTAGGGGCTGAGCACAGTGGCCCCAGCACTTTGGGAGGCCAAGGCAGGAGGTCTGCTTGAGCCCAGGAGTTCCAGACCATCCTGGGCAACATGGCAAGATGTTTTAAAAAACCTACAAAAATAAGCCAGGACTGGTGGTGTGTGCCTGCGGTCCCAGCTACTTGGGAGACTGAGGCAGGAGGATCACTTGAGCCCAGGAAGTTGAGGCTTCAATGAGCCAAGATCACACCACTGCACTCCAGCCAAAAGAAAAGAAAAGAAGGAAGGGAAGGAGGAAGGGAGGGAAGGCAAGCAGGCAGGCAGGAAGGGAGGGAGGGAAGGAGGGAGGAAGGAAGGAAGGAAGAAGGGAGGGAGGGAAGAAGGGAATGAAGGAAGAAAGGAAGGAAGGGAGGGAGGGAGGGAGGGAGAGAGGGAGAGAGGAAAAGAAAAATAGCTAAGACCTTGTGCACGGATAAGCCTTCCCCCACCCCTGCTCTCATCCCCAAAGAGTAGTGAAGAAATTCAGGGTCTACAGACAAGTTCTCATGACTCACTCTGGCCCACCACAAGAATCAAGATCCTTAGTCAACCTTCACAGCTCCTCCTTCAGCCCCCCAGGAGCCTCAGCCATCATAGAAAAGAGAGTGAAAACAACAGGTGTCTCGCTGGCGTCACACCCAGCCAGACATGGAGGGGGAGAGCCTTCCTACAGCTGTCACAACCAGTGACTTTGTGAAGTATCCAATTCAAGAAGCACCACCTTTTGAAAGATGGGAGGTGTACGTTTAGGTGTATACCCAGAAGAACCCAAAACAGGTGTTCAAACAAAGACTTAGACACAGATGTTCATAGCAGCATTATTCATGAAAACCAAAAGGTAGAAACAACCTAAAGTCTTCCAACTGATGAATGGATAAGTGAAATGTGGCATATTCTTACAATAGAATATTATTCAACCACAAAAGGAAAAAAGGTGCACGCTACAACATGGATGAACCTTGAAAAGATTATGCTAAGTAAACGAAGCTTGACACAAAAGGACAAATATTGTATCCTTCCATGTATATGAAATGCCTGGAATAGGCAAGTCCATAGAGACACAGAGTAGATTCGTGGTTGCCAGGGATTCAGGCGAGAGGGTAACAGGAGTGACTGCTTAATGGGCATGGCGTTTCCTTTTGAAATGATGAAAATATTCCGGAATTAGGTAGAGGCGGTGGTTGTACAGTATTGTAAATGTACTAAATGCCACTGAATTATACATTTTAAAATGACAAATTTCAGGTTATGTAAATTTTACAATAAAAAAATGGGAGGTAGCCCATCCAGTCTCCATCTATGGGTAACCACTGGGGCTGAATAGCCCTCCATGGGCTTTCCTAGGATGCCTGTCCCTCACCACTTAGCACTCAGCAGGCAGGCACTCAGAAAGACCTGGGCAAGGAGGAAAATCTTTATTCTTTGTATTTTTCTCCACAAGGCATGAACCTCCTGTGCACGCTACCCCAGTTACTCTGTGCCCCTCACTGAAAATATATACATAACTTCCATATACGTATAATTTCTATTACATGTAATATATACATATACGCTCGAGCCCCTCCAAACCTTTACTGTCTGTGCCTTTCCTCCTTCTCCCACACCCTAGGACTCTGCTGCATCCCTTGCTGTCTATCCAGTTCCTGCAGTTCCCTCCATGTCCAGCTCAGATCCTCCCCGATACCCCTTCTCTGACCTCTGCCCACACATCTGGGTTTCGACAGTCCAACCAAGCAAACACTTGATTCCATTCACTCCCTCATTCATGCCTTTCAAGTAGATCTCCAGCCTGGGAAAGGCCAGGGGTGTCTTACCTCCGAGCTGGGCACATAGGAGCTCCTCGGGCACTGCCTGTTGGTGCTAAGCCCAGAGCTACACCGTGGACCTCTCCCCTGAACACACCCAGACCAACGCTGTTCAGAACCCAGTGGGAACCACCAGCAGCACAGTGGGGTCAGTGTGTTCCCAGGAAGAAGACCAAAGTCTACCACCCGAGAGGCGATGGTGAGGTCCCATGTCATGTCAGTCTGACAGCCAGACCTATCTTAGATCTCTGATCAGTCTCAGGATCCCTATTATACCAGGTCCCTTCCAGTTGTTTTAATTAAAATGGTGAGGAATCAAGAGATTGCAATTATGTAAGGAGAGAAAAAAAATCAAGACAGTCACTCCACCCCTACTCCCAGCAAATTTCTGGATGAGCACTGATAAGAATTAGAGATGAATTCTGGCTAAGTACAGACACCATCCCAGCAGAACTCTGGGTAGGCAGTTAACATCACAGCCTATCAGGTCAACACCAACACAATTAGAATGGACTTTTGGCTGACCACTGATACATCAGAGAAGACTCGCAGGTCAATGCTGACACGTTTAGAAGGGAATTAGGAATAAACACTAAACAATTACAGAATAAAGGTGATGGCTCTATTAGAGTAGAAAGATGGGAAGCAGTCCCTAGAAGTCAAGCTGAGAAGGAGGATCAGTGGACCCTGGGTGAAGGACAGAGCCAACAACGGGTGGCCTTCATGGGCACACTCTGTCCTTCATTTCAGGCTTAGTAGGAGTGGGATCAAAATTCCCATGGTCACCTAGAGTAGGTGTGTGGATGGGGGCCCCAATCCTGGCCTTCTGCCGAAGACCCTAGCCACAGAGACCTCAGATCCCCACAATTCCAAATTTAGATTAAAAAGATACAATTAGTGGGGAGCTCTCTGGGTTTCCATAGAGACAAGGATGGAGCAAGTCCTTCTCAGGAAGACAGTCTGTGACTATTAAGGGCCAAGTCAACCCTCTGGCCCCCAGCTAACCCCTGCCCCTTGAAGGACAGGGCCCAGTTTTCCCACTTTAATTTGGGCAATTATTCTTTTGCCTCATTATTCTCACTTGCAGAGAAGGTTGAGCTGAACGATATTCATAGGTTCATTAGGAATCTGTTTCCAATGCTCAGAAACAGTCTTCATACTTGCTAACACTGAAAGCTTCTTTCTGATTACAAAAATAATATTGCTTATTATAGAAATTTTAGAAAAAAAGCAAAATATAAAAAAGAAAAAAAAAATCCCATACAATCGCATATCCAGAGGAAATCACTGTTAACCTTTTGGAAACTTTACAAGCATTTTTGCTTGTTTTGTTTTTGTTGGGATTTTTTGCATTCATATCACTTTTGAAACAAAATTGGGATCATACAGTCTTCGCAACTTTGTATTCTGTCATCATACTGTGAGCATTTTCCAAAGTCATCAAATATTCTTCACAAATATAATTTTAACGACTGCATAGTACTCTACCAAGAGTACATACCACGATTACTGAGCATTTAGGTTATCCACCTAGTATAAATAGCACTGCCATGAACATCCTAGCCTAGTGCCATAAGTATATATGCCTGCATCTCTACTTCCTTAGGATCAATTCCTCTCAGTAAAATTACAAGGTCAACAAATTGATTTTTTTTTCTTTTTTTTGCGAGACAGAGTCTCGCTCTGTTGCCCAGGCTGGAGTGCAGTGGCATGATCTCAGCTCACTGCAACCTCCATCTCCCAGATTCAAGGGATTCTCCTGCCTCTGCCTCCCGAGTAGCTGGGATCATAGACACGCACCACCATGCCCAGCTAATTTTTGTACGTTTAATAGAGACGGGTTTTTGCCGCATTGGCCAGGCTGGTCTGGAACTCCTGACCTCAAGTGATCCACCTGCCTTGGCCTCCCAAAGTGCCGGGATTACAGGCGTGAGCCACCGCACCTGGCCAACAAATTGATACTTTTAGAGCATCTTGACATACATTGCCATATTAATTTCCAGAAAGACCCAACAAACCCATTGATTTTCCTGAGCCAAGTGAGAGCTGAAGTTTTGAAAGAGCTGGAGTATTAGAATGCAGGACAGTGGTCCCGTCTCTCCTTCTCTTCCCTGGTCTTAAAAGTTAACTGTTCAGCAAAAGAAGGGACAGGATTCCAAGTCAAAAGGTACGGGTCTACAGCCTAGCACCTAGTGCCGAGGTCTGACTGGCTTTGGGAACCTGAAGCCAGCCTTGGTTCTCCTCATCTGTAAAATGGGTATAGTGTGATTAGGTCTGCTCTGCTGACTACCCCAAGCAGTGTCCACGCTCGCTGAAAACGTGTTTGAGAAAGTTCGATGCCTTGTGTTAAAGGGCACTATTGTTATCCTTCCTGAAGGAATTTAGTAGGTCTGAGGGCCCAGGAGGACCCAGCAGTGTCTTCCAGAGGTCAGAAACAGCATTGGAAGCTCCAAGACAGGAATGGCAGGCTCGGAACGGGGAGACTGGGCCTAGGGCCACCCTGAGGGTGCTGAGTGGATCTGGGCCGACGGAGAGCAAAGACATTCCTGGTAAATGTCCCTCTGTTTCAAGGCTGCCAGCCCCTCTTTTCTAGGGCTCTGACTGGATATCTGGTCTTTGGGAAAACCAGAAATCAAACTAATTCAAAGGATGCGAAAAGCCAACGGCTACAAAGACCCCAGGAACCAGCAGCTCTGAGCCTTTATTCCAGTCTGCTGTAAGCCTGTCCTGAATTTTCAAAACTCTCCCATTGGAAATGCAACTAGTGCTCCCAGCCTGGTCTCTCCAGCCCTAGGGCCGATGAAAAGGAGACCGACCGAGGTGCCTCCCTGAAGACGGACGACCCAAGCTTCCCTCCTCACTCCCCACACCGCTATCGACCTGGCAAACGTCCTTTCCCACTTCTTCAGGCTCGCCTAACACCATGGCCTAAGGGGACTCCACTGACGTTCCCAGTGCCAGCAGACACAACTGCGCAGACCCCGCGGGACGCCATCCTCCATCACCATCATCGCCGGCTGCCCTCCACCCCCAGCCCATTCCACAGGCAGAGGTGCATCTCCGGCCTCCAGACCCGCACAACAGGTGGCGTCTGCCCGTCCTCCCCAACCACGCCTCCCTGGCCCTCCACCTGCGCCCCAGTCCTTCAGCTGCGCCCGGCCGGGGAGCCTACCTTTGAGGTTCTGGTGGTGGCCCCGCGGCGCGCGGCTCGGGTTTCCTCGGGGCAGCGAGGGGATACTGGAGAAGTTGTTACCCATGGCATCCGGCCCCAGGGGGTTCGGCGCTCGCTGGTGGGGGCGAGGCCGGGCAGGAGCGGAGGTGCGGTGTGCGAGTGTGCGCGCGCGGGTGCGCGCCGCCGGGGGAGGGCCCTGCTGGGGCTGCGGCCGGGGGCGGGCGGGCCTCTTCTCTGCTTCCTTTCTCGGGACTTCGCGGTCCTTGGCGGGTCCCGCCCGCCGCGGGTGTCCTGGCGCGAGCGGGGCTACCTGCCTCCCATGCCCCGTGGCGGAAGCGGGGGCCACAAGCAGGGCCCTGGGCCGGGGCTGGGGCCGCCCGGGGCTCCCCGCTTGCTCCCCGGGACGCTCGGGTTCCGGCTGGGGGTGGGCGGCGCGGCGGCTCCGGCGCGCTCCCCCCGGGCCATAGAGTCAGGGCCCCCGGCGTGGGCGTTCGGCGGCTCCGAGGCAGGCTCGGTCACCGCCCCGCGGGGACGGCCGCGGCGGCGATGTGCTTGGCTCCCTCCCGCCCGCGGGTCTGCATGGAGCGGGGCTCGGCGGAGCGCGGGGCGTGCTGGGTGCTCCCGACGAGGCTGGTGTCCCCCGACCGCCGCGGTCCCGCCCGCGCCGGGTCCCTCCTGCGACCGCCGCCCCCGCCCCCCGCCCCGGCAGTCGCCAGGATTCCCTCGCTCCGGTTGTTATGGTGACAGCTGCGCCGGTGAATGAGCGTCTTAGTGACACGCGCGCGCCCGCTAGGCCAGATGTGACCCCGGGGCGCGCCGCGTTCCCGCAGCCGCAAGCTCTCGGCGGCGCGGGTCCGGGTAAGACATCAGGCGAGGATGGTGGCCTTCGGGGCTGGCCTTATTCCCAGCACGGAACCATGGAGCTTGCACTTGAAAACAAGGGGAGCAGGGCCGCGAGAACGCCGAGCTCCCGGGATGCGGGTGCGGGCGAGCCAGCGCTCATGTTCGGTTTCCCTAGCTCCAGGTACCAGGCCTGGCGCAGAGTGGAGAGCCCAGGGAAACATGTAAATGGACGAGCGGATGCTTGGATAAAGTAATTGAGATTAGGACCCTGGCACTTGACCCTCTGTTCTCAGCCAGGGTAGGGGCGCTAGGCAAGGGTTCAGAGCCGGAACCCCGAGCAGTCTCACTGATGCATAGGTGCCACTGAGGGCCTTTAAATGCCTACGAACCAGACCCACAAGCCTGGAGCTCTGGCCAAGCTGAGGGAACAGATCTCCGGGACAGCATCAGAAGACCACCAGCTCTGAACTGAGTGGTTCTATTAGCTATAACAAGGTGGGAGAGAGGAGCCTATGCAACCTATGGCAGTCAAAGAAGGCTTCCTGGAGGAAGGGGGTTTCAGCAAGTGCCCTACTCATGTGGCTATTGCCTTCCTGTAGATCAGCACTGCACCAAGAAGCCTGCAGGAAGCGAAACGGAAGCCATTCTTCTCCTACCTGGACCTGGGGCATCTCTCCTGGTCTATCAGGGATGGAAGACGTTCCAAGGTTCCCCCCAGGGAATCAGCCTTCCTGCTCCTCTGAGTCATCTCTAGCTCCCTGATCTGGCTTCAGCAACTCTGATCCAGAGTCCAGTGAAGACATGGGTGGGCAGGGGGACATCTCATGTATCCTTTTCTATAATAGAAGGTTCTTCCCGCAAGTCTCCATTTGGCGGCTCCTCATTATCTAGGCACAATTCGAGTCCTGACATTCCCTGACTGTCCCAACTAAAGGACCCCTCCACTCTCAGTCACTTTCCACGATATTCCATTTTATTTTCTTCGTAGCTATTATATGTAATTTGCTTACGAGTAGCCTTTCGTCGTTTATCTTCTGCCTCCCCGCTAGAACATAAGCTCTGTGAGGGGAGAGCACAGGTCAGTCATGTTCACCAGAGTGTCCTTACCCCCTGGGGGAGTGCCTGGCACGTGACAGATTCTCAGAAAATAATTGTGGAATGCATGCTTCCCACTGCGGGCCAGGAGACTCCACTGAGATCCTTGGGAGCAGAGCCTCCTGAACCACCCTTTATTTTCCTCTCCTGCTCTCCTCGCCCCATCCCCATTCCAGGCATCACACCCTTAAATGTCTGGGACTCCAGGCAAGCTAGAAATATCTGTGACAGCCGCTCTCTCTCTGGAATCTGGAGGGAAAGACAGCTCCGACCCCGGCCTCCAGCCTCCCAGATGCCCAGGATCACGTGTGCAGGCAGCTGCAGATGGCCACAGCAGGTCAGAGATGGCTGTCTTATTTATGGGCAGTATCTTCCCAAGGCTCACTCCCAGCTAATGACTCATGCATCAGAAATCCACAGGCTCTGAATGGCAACACACTCACACATGCGCTCACATACCACTACACTATCACACACTCACACCTATACAAGCACACACACTTACATTTCCCCTGAAATCTGCTGGAATGAAGTCACTGTGAGAGGCAGCTAGGATCAGGCCTTTCACAAATTAGAACAAATAGGAGGACTCTGCATAGTTGAGACTCATTCTGCTGGAGTGTGTGCGAAGTACAAGGGCCTTGCAAGGATTTACAGATGGTAGCTTCGGGTAAGTCCGGTGTGGGCAGGGGAATGGGGGAGGGGATGAGGCCCCAAAGGCAGAGCATAGCGGGGATGTCTCGAACTCCTGACCTCAGGTGATCCACCCGCCTCAGACTCCGAAAGTACTGGGATTACAGGCATGAGCTACCTCGCCTGACAAGGGGATGTCACAGGCCCCACATGGCCTAGACCTGGGGCTATGGGCAAAGCAGGGGAGAGAGGAAGGTCAAAGGGAAGGAGGGAAGTGAGGGCCAGAGGTTTGTGCTCATCTGAGTCCAGAGGCAGCCCAGGTTCTGCAGCTCAGGGCAGCGTGATCCCAGGGAGTCCCAAAGGAAGGTGAGAGGCATCAGGGACAAAGGCAGGGAACTAAGGGTTGAGGAGCTGATGGGAGTATCAGTGGGGCTGGGATAGGATGAGGTAGCCAAGGCATCCCTGGCGCAAAATTGAAGGAGGCACCCACTGTCAAGGTCATGCAGATACCAACCTTGCACTTACACGAGCCTGGGAATGAGGGCCTCTTACATTTCATGCACTAGGCTCCTCTCTACCCTCACCCTAGTCCTTCAGGGAGCTCTGTACTGGAAGAGGGGACACCACTGTTAGTGTCAACTAGGTCTCTGGCCAGGAAGGGACCTAGAGGAGGTTGGTGTGGCTGCATAGGATTCAGAGAAGTTGAGCGCGGCCCTTCTGAAGAGTCCTGTGCCCCAGCAACTTTTCCTTGGCAGGGACTTAGGGTAGACCCAACTCAGAGGGTCGAAGAAGGCCAGCAGTCTCCTTATTCCCAGACCTGGGGCAGAACCCGGAGGCCTTCCTGCCATCCTTCCCCAAGGTAGCTGCTGGGAAACATGGGGGTGGGAGTTGGGGTGGCTGGGTGGTAGCTCTGATCCAGAGGACCCTTCCCAGACCCATCCTGGAAAGGAAGAGGAAGAAGGAAACTGCCAGGGAGACTGGGGCTGATGAAGTCTCTGTTTTGATGGCTTCAGGGGAAACTATTAATACCCACAAGGTGGTGCTCCAGCACCAGTCACAGTGGCAACACCTACACACCCAGCAGTGCGGATTCTGTGAGCAGTGCCTGAGGGGGTGGGTGTCAGTGCATACGTGTGCACTTTCGCGAAAACCTGTGTCCTTGTATGTGCATGCGTCGGTGTTCTGAGTGCACACACAGGCACGCAGGAGAGGGAGGCCGCGGGCAGGGACCTGGGGAAGCTTCCTTCAACAGCAGCTCCACTCCCACCTTCCCCACCTTCCCTTCCTTCCCTGTTGCTCTCTTCTTGCTGATTTCTTTCTTTTGAGACAGAGTCTTGCCCAGTGGGAGTGCAGTGGCACGATCTCAGCTCACTGCAGTCTTGCAACCTTCACCTTCCGGGTTCAAGCAGTTCTCCAGCCTCAGCTTCCCAAGTAGCTGGGACTACAGGCACACACCACCATGTCCAGCTAATTTTTGTATTTGTAATTGAGACAAGGTTTCACCGTGTTGGCCAGGCTGGTCCCTAACTCTTGACTTCAAGTGATCCACCTGCCTCAGCCTCCCCAAGTGCTGGGATTACAGTAGTGAGCCACTGCGCCTGGCCCTTGCTGGTTTCTTTTACTGTCTACCCACTTCCCACCCCTTCTCATCTTTCTCCCTGCCCTTCCTTCTCTGCTTTTTCCCACCCTGGTCACTTTCTCTCCTTGCAGTCTCTGCTCTTCCCACCCTGGCTGTCTGCTCCTGCCTGGTTCACCTCTCTCTACCTATCTTCCTCTTTCTCTCTCTCCATAGCTTCCAGATCAGTTCAAGTCTTGGAGTCACCGTGTTGATAAAATAATATTTTGACTGAGAGTCTTTTTTTGACTGAGAGTATTTGACTGAGAGTCTTACTTCCTTCCCTGAGCCTCTGGATGCTGAGTTCAGAACCAGCCAGAGGGATGACCCTTCCTCAGGCAGACAAGAGTGGGGTGCCTCTAGGCCAAGCTGGACTCCCCTGAATTGGGATCACCCTCGTCAATGGCATGACACCTCGCTCCATGCAGAGAAACTAACCTTAAAATGGGAAACAGCCACAACTATCCCTGGCTACGACAAGTAGCACCCTCCCATTCCCAAAGTCCCAGCCCATTGTGTTGGTTTGGGTTTTGTTTATTTGTTTGTTTGAGACAGAGTCTAACTCTGTCGCTCAGGCTGGAGTGCAGTGGCATGAGCTCAGCTTATTGCAACCTCCCCTCCTGGGTTCAAGCAATTCTCGTGCCTCAGCCTCCTGAGTAGCTGGGATTACAGGTGTGTGCCAGCACGGCCAGCTAATTTTTTGTATTTTTAGAAGAGACAGGATTTTACCATGTTGGCCAGGCTGGTCTTGAACTCCTGACCTCAACTGATCTGCCCGCCTCGGCCTCCCAAAGTGCTGGGATTACAGTCGTGAGCCACCACGCTCCGCCTGGTTTTGGTGTTTAGAGCTGAGGGTCTCACTCTGTCACCCAGGCTGGAATGCAGTAGCGTGATCATAGCTCACTGCTACCTCGACCTCCTGGGCTCAAACGATGCTCCCACCTCAATCTCTTGAGTAACTGAGACTACAGGCACGCACCACCATGCATGCCTATTTATTTATTTATGTTTTTTAAAAGATGAGATCTCAGTTTGTTGCTCAGGCTGGTATTGAACTCCTGGCTTCAGGTCCCGACTAGGCCTCCTAAAGGGATTATAGGCATGTGCCACCGTGTCCACCCAGCCACCAGCCCATGGTTAATCAGGCTATCAGAAAAGCTGTTGGGGGAGGGGGTGGTGTCCTGCCTGAACTTCAGGGGGTGGCTGGACAAGTTGGAGGGGTAGATCCCTGAGTGCCTGTGCCTGGTACTTAGTGCATACTCAATAATTAGTTATTAAATAAATGAATGAATAAAGGAATGGATGGATTAACCTGTCGGGCCCTCCCTCTGAAGGATGGAAGCCTGTGCTGCCCATTTTAGCATGGAATGGGCTCTGTGCCATCTTCTTCCCAGGTATTTTTGGGATTCAGCTTCACTCATTGCCCAGTGATCATTTATTGAGCACTACCTGCATCCCTGGCGCTGAGTGAGGTGCAGCTTCCTTGCTACCACCGTGGGGCAGCCTGTCCTCTGCTTTTTGTACACTCCAATCCCAGTTCCCCACCTCCCAGGCCCAGGTTCAGAGCTGAACATGCAGCAGGTCTGACCACATAGCTGGACTGGGCAGGTCGCTCTGAGCGCCAAACCTTTTTGATCATACACCCCTAGCAGTAATAAATTTTTAAAGCGTGTACACCAATATATGTATATTTCTTTATTTATAATTTCTATATATGCACTACTGTATTCATATTGTCTATATTATGAAACATAGACTAAATAGACTAACGAGATCGTAAAATGGATCATCTTGCCCTCCTCCTGGGGCGCACACACACTCTAGACTAATAATTCTCAAACTTAAACGTGCATCAGAATCATCTATGAGGCCTTGGGGAGAGGGGGAGAAAGTTACTAAAATGCGGACTCCCAGACCTCACCCTGAGAGACTTAGATTGAGTGGAGTCTGATACAGGTCGTTTATTGATTACACATTAGGAAACCGCTCCACATGGTCACATGTTCTAGTTGTGAGGATGGTGCTTGAAGAAGGCCTACAGGCTTTCTTGGGGAAAGCTGGACACCCCACAGGGACCAGGCCAGTGCTGGCTGCCACCCAAGCAGGGCTAACTTATTGGAAGAGGTGACTGTGCAGGGAGGTAGCAGGGATGAATCCCAGCCCCTTCCTCTGCTCCACAGACAGACTTGCTCTCTGGGAGGTGGTCCCTGAATCCAGGATCAATTGTGAGGTCTTCATAGACTCCCAAACTCTTATTTTGGAGCCCAACCCCGTCAGGCCAAATGTACTAAAATATACCACATTCCACATTAAACATAATTTTCTTGCAGTAAACATTTTGAAATGATTCTTACAAATTTGGCTTTTGGAATCACCGGACAACAAGGGACTCACTGAATTTACAACTGGTTTTATTTCTAAGCAATCATGCATGTGTTGGATGTCTTGCCAACTGAGAAAAAAACTATGTTTGTCTTCAAATATAATGAAATGTTTATGAGTACTACATTTAGCAATTAATGACATTGATACAACAAAAGCATTTACAAAAGCATTTAAGTGAACATTTATTAATTTTGGTTTGAAGTTTTCCTTTCATAATTTGAGGACAGTAATTTTTTTTTTCTGGTCTCAAGCAGATGCTTTAAAAGTTCATAGGCTTAAGTACCCATAGCACCCATGGAAAAAATCCAGACCTGAGGCCAAGCACTCCCGAGATTGTATCTGAAAGGACGGAAGGAGGTTCCTCCATGAAGCAGAAAGGAAAATGCCCAATGTTGGCCGGGCACAGTGACTCACGCCTGTAATTCCAGCACTTTGGGAAACCAAGGCGGGCGGGTCACCTGAGGTCAGGAGTTTGAGACCAGCCTGGCCAACATGGTGAAACCCTGTCTCTACTAAAAATACGAAAAATTAGCCAGGTGTGGTGGCTCATGCCTGTAGTCCCAGCTACTTGGGAGGCTGAAGCAAGAGAATCACTTGAACCCCAGAGGTGGAGGTTGCAGTGAGCTGAGATTGCACCACTGCACACCAGACTGGGCAACACAGCAAGACTCCATCTCAAAAAAAAAAAAAAAAAAGGAAAAAATAATGCCCAGTGTTGTAAAGAGGACAGTGTGTCTCCATCTGAGAAACTTGTGTACTGACTTCAAAGTCCAGCATCAATTGATCTATCCCAGGGCCACTTGCTCAAATAATTGTAACAGGTGACATTTATGAAGCACTTATTCATATGTCCCAGGCCTTGGTCTAAGCACTTCAGATGCATTAGTTCATTTAATTCCAGAAACAACCCTGTGAGATAGGTACTAATTTTGTTCTTGTTATTATTACTATTATTATTCCTATTTTACAAATAAAAATCCCAAGGCTTGGGGAAGTTAAGTCACTTGCCTAGGAGCTGATGGGGGAGGCATGGAGGCACAGCTTAGGACAGCCTGAGTCCTGATTCCCTTGATACTGTGCATGCACCAGGGTGGAATTCCTTCACGTCCCCAGCCTGAGGGAGACACCTATGGCAGAGGAGGCCTCCTCACTGAGCTCCTGAACCAGCCCCTCCTGCTTGAGGACACCTAAGATGCCTGGTGGCTTCAGCTCAGCTTTCTGGAAGTTAGCCAGGGAGCACACAGCTACTGATGAACACAAAACAGAGTAAAAAAACAACAAAATCAAAGAAAGATGCTTGAAATGGCTGCAGTACCCCCAGCATCCTCTTTTCTCCCACAGATGTTTTAAATGGCCTTTACTTGGCAGGCAGACTCTTCCAAGAATGTTACAAAGACCAGAGAATCATAAAGGAAAAGTATCATAAATATGACCACATAAAAATGTAACACTCCTTCATGGCCAAAGTTGAAAGACAAATAGGAGGCATCTCTCCAAGAAGCCAGCAGCATTAAATCACACCAAATGCCTTTAGCGTGAGACCCAGGACAGCGAGCAGACTTTTCTCCACTTGCTGCTGGCAGTGTGACATCTCCCTTTCACGCACCCTTCCCCAGAGCAGTCCCAGGCACACCCAAGGGCAGCTCTCTTCCCAGGAAGGTTTCTCTCAGTGGAAAGAGCAGACCTGCTGTGTGTCCCGCCTCTCCCTTCCTCTCACCCCAGTTCCTCCCTCCAGCCACCACTAGGTGACACTAGAACTCCATTAGAATCCCCTTTGTCTCTGACAAAAGTTTTTGGGGAGCCCTCAAGCCATTCAAAACACCTTAAAAATGTTTACCAGGGCCAGGCGCGGTGGCTCA